CACACCTGCCAACTCTAAAGTTAAGGTTCTATTTAGGACATATGGCATCACTTTGATGAATTCACAATTTACTGTGATTCTATTCATTCTAAACAGAAATAATAATGCAGTTTACATGAAAAAAAACATGTAATTCCCACAGTTAGCTTATTGGAATATGACTATCTACCCACAGCTGCACCCCACAGTTCTTCGGCACATGGCTTTCCATTCAGTTTTTGAGCAACATTATTTATCCACTAACTTCAACAAGGAGCTCATGACTTTATTTTCTTCTACCAAACACTATCAATTATTTTCCTTTAATATCACATAGATTTTGCCTCCACATGTAGAATCCCTTCTCCCTCCATCCTTTCCCCCATAGACACATCCACAAAGATCACAGCTCATGACATCAAATGGAGACAGGATCCAGCCTCTCGGTATCAACAGAAGAGAAACTGGATCAGTTAGTCAGATAGTTCCTATCAGTTCCCCACACCCCAATGCTAACATGAGTGTGAGAGGTTGTCTTGCTTCTGCTCTGGGATTTCCCAGTCCCTTGATAGCTGAAAATGAAACAGTAAGCAGCAAACAGCAGTGTGGTCTGGTGGCAAGATCCTGACATTAGAAGTCAAGGGCTTTGGTTTCCATCCCTGCTCTGCACATGATTAAATTTGGATCTTAAGCAATTCCATAAACTTGTTGCCCTTTAATTTATTTCCTATAAAATGAATCTTAAATATTTCAGTGGCTGCAAACAAATTGAGAAGCCATCACCTTTTATTTGCTTCACTTGCTTCAATTTCCAGAGGAAGAAAAGCAAAAAGGAGAACCCCTCCACTCCCTTTACTGCAGAAATTGAGGGAGGAGGAGGCTGTGTTTAAAACCAATGCAAAATTCAGGTTAAATAAAATTGCTCTTATTAAAGAATTTCCTTCTGTAATCTCTAGGACATATAATGTCAAAAAAATAAGATGTAAAACTATGTATCAGTTATGCCACCATGTATGCATTGTGTTGTTTTACAAAGAAGGGTATTATAGAATCACATATGCTTGCATGTGCTCAGATCTTTGCTTGCAGCAACTGCTTCTGAAGAGAACTAGGGAAGGGGGCTGGGGGGGGGCGTGGTCAGGAGTGAGAGTCAGAGGCTAAAGAGGGGAATGAGGAAGGCACTTGCCAAATCTCTTGTCTGATGGCCAAATGAGAAAAGGAACTTTGGGTTTAGCGAGAAAGTCTGAATTAAATACCTTGTTCTTTCTCTTTCTTTGCTGTGTAGCTTCATTAAGATAGAAACAATTGGGGTTTTCTTGCTTCCTGGCCCTGACAAGGACTCACAAATAAGATCACATGGGAAAGTTGTAAGAGGTATGGGGTGTCTCCTAGGCCTGAGTCACCACCCAGCCCTCTGTCCTATTTTGGAGCAACACTTTAGCAAGACCAGAATTTCAAAGCAGAAGAAATACCCAGGCATAAAAGGGGAGGGGAATTTAAATGTAGGGTTATGCCATTTCCTTTTGCCATAGCAAGACCTTGTTGGCCTCAGGCAGTGCTGCCCTGTAACCTCCGTTATCATCAGGGCTTGGGGCTCACAGTCCCCACAGTTCACACGGACACAGCAGGGAGTCAATTCACCTCCTAGCCCAAGCTTTCAGTTGTGCCCATTAACTGTCTTTCTCCTTAAAATATTGTTTGTCCTTCATCTCCTTGATGCTTGGAAAAATGTTAATTAGTCTCAGAAGAGTAGTCTTAATAGAGTTTATGAATGGACCACTATAATGGGGCAATCAATGAAGCACAAGATAATCTCTACTTTCTGAAATTCTGCATTCATGGGGGAAAGAGAGAACTGCAGTACATTAAGCTTCATAGAGAGGAAATGTAGCATGAATTAATTAAAGGAAATAACAATAGCCAACATTTGTAGAGCAATCTATATCTCTTCTAATTTTTAGTGTTATCCTTGTGACGACACAATTACTAGTCCAATTCAGGGCATTTCCACAGACTTGGAGCTGAAATGAGAGAATGTCATGCTTTCCAACAGACTTCTCAGTTTGTAATTCCAGTTGTCTTCCCTTGTATGATTACCAGAATTAACAGGATCTCATTAAATCAGCTATTGTGCTCTGGGCAGCCAGATAGCCAATTTTTATCACCTCTATCTGTAATTTCTGATGAAACAGATGCCTCAGGATTGGTTAAGTACTCAGAACTTATCCCAGCACTGGAAATAAATGAAGCAGATGTTTGTTTTCCTTATGTGTGGTGTTTCTGAGTGCTCACCTCTTATTTTGAAGTGAGACAAGAAATTTCCCATATCTCAATTAAATATAGATAACATAGGAAGAAATTGTAGTCAGTCCTTCTAGAGGGGCGAGACACGTCCAGCTTTTAAGGGCAGCTGCTGCACCCAGGGCTGAAGGCCTTTATGCAGCGGAATAAAAAGTGTGATTGCATGATGCCCTGTGCACACTCATACCCTCCTCAGAGAGAACCCAACAGAAATCCCACTGAGGGTGCCTACAGATTAGTACAAATGTACTTTGTATAAGTCTTCTTTGCATGTCTCCTCAATTTGGCCCAAAGTGAACTTATGAAACCTAATATGAATGCCCAAACCATGTTATTGTAGTAGTCATTTTTTGTGCATTTCAGATTAAATTGACATTCAACAATTTAGCTCACAGGCAAAAGGTAAAACTGCAAGTAAATGCTTGGCCAATAACATCTTTTTGGAAACACACAGGGCCATATATTAAAACAAAGAACCTTTTAACAATTTCATAATAGGATGTGCTTACTTTTTGCAGGGAATGGATAAAGAAGAAGGGCTAGAACCCCCTATTAGTTGTGTCCACTGCAGGGGCCAGCATGGTTCTTTGCCCAGATTAGGTTCCCAAAAGGTTTTAACCTTTCACTAAATAGCCTGCTCTCCCCCCTGGGTGCTATCCCTGCTCACTGTCCACAGGGTTTGGCCCTGGACCTATGGCATCAAGCAATTTCCACTCCAAATCACATTGCAGACCATGACAAAAATTCCTCAGGTTCTCTAGAAAACAATGGCTTTCAGACTGAGTTGCCACATAGAAATTTGCTCTCAATAAAAGATTGGTTTCAGCCCTGACCTGTTTGGCTCAGTGGATAGAGCATCGGTCTGTGGACTGAAGGGTCCCAGGTTCAATTCTGGTCAAAGGCATGTATCTTGATTGTGGGCACATACCCAGTAAGCAGTGTGCAGGAGGCAGCTGATTGATGTTTCTCTCTCATTGATGCTTCTAACTCTCTATTCCTCTCCCTTCCTCTCTGTAAAAATATAAATAATTAAAAAAAGATTGGCTTTCAGCCTGTCACCTGATGGACATGCACCAGGGAGGAACACAGGGGGGTGAGAGAAATCAGTCCCACTGATTTCAGGTCCCACTGTGGTGCTTAGTGATATGTCAGATAGCAATGTAAACTTAGCTCTAAGGGTAGATGCACTGGCTGATCCCCATCTCTCCAAGGCTGGGCAAATCCCCTTGGGCCCAGCACATTGCTGGCAGACAGTCTTCATCAACTGTTTCAGGCTCTTTTGCTGATCTCCAGGCAAATACAAGTGGGTGATGATAATCAGAAGACACTCTAGCATTGGTCTGGTGACCTCCAGCAAGCATGTCTCCATCTATCTCATAAGGGGCTGAGACAAGATGATCTCTGAGGCCCAATTTAGAAAGGTCCCATCTATTTTCGATAATGCATCCCAATGCCACCACACAATCAGAAACCTTGCTGCCTGAAGCAGGTGGGCAGATTTCAGGATGCGATTATTCTGTCCTAGATACATTCAAGCCTGGCAGTCTCACTGCTCATCGTATCAGAAGGTGAGTGATGACTTTCCTCAGAACCCACTCAGGGCCTCATTACTTCTCTTAAGCTGATTCTCCAGCTGGTGACCTAACCCAGCTTTAACTCTTGGCTTCCAAGGTCAACAGCTCTGCAAATGCTCAGTGCACAGGTCCAGCCCTGAACCTACCCTCATAGCTCTCATGACCACTTTCTCAGCCGCCACCACCACCGGTCACATCTTGGGGAAAAAAACGCCAATTCTCCACAACTGCCGCAATTTCTTTAAAAAGAATAGTATTTTCCAAGTGGAATGTTAACTAGAACTCAATTCATATTGGTTATTTAGATTTTTGTAAAAGTCATCAAAAGTTGTATACCTTGACCCAGATCTAGGTTTTGTTGGGCCTGGTCAGGGATAATATGAAAGTGGGCAGAGGGTCTTAGAGGGGGCCCTGCAAGTGAGAATCCAAAGCTGAAGCTCCATTAACTTTGTGGTTAAACCACCTCACCCTTATTTAGAGACTTGAATCCCAGTGGGGGCATTATGCTTGCTTTGCAGTGAAATGATCTATCATTTATAAGCAGCATAGCATGAGACAGAATATGAACAATGAAGTCAGAAAGATCTGGGTTCAAATACCAGCTATTGCTTTACTTGCTCTGCTCTCCCCTCTGAATAAAACCAGAGGTAACAACACATCTTTCACATGTGTGTTGTGAAGATTACAGGTCTGGCATGTGTTACATAACACGTGTGAAAGTATAATACAATTCACTCAGTGAATGATGGACCCATTCAACAGTTTCCATTAGAATTTGGTGTGCATGATTGAAATCTACCTTGTACAAAGACAACTTAGTTATTAACTTGGCAAACACTAATAGGCAAGGAACATGCAAGTATATATTCACGGCAGTATAAATGCAGAAAAATAAGATCCAAAATAGAACCAGACTTAGCCTGAACTAGTGGCTTATAATTTTTTTACCTCAATATACCGAAGGGACACAATCCAATCCAGATGACAACAGCTTGATACAGTGGCAATAGAAGAGGAGCGTACATACAATTTGCAAAGCTTTCAAGTATTTTTTGCCTCCTAATGACACATGTTCTCCTCCAACCTATATCCCAACCCCTGGATCCCACCTTCAGTCCAGGGTTAGAATAACACCTTTCACAATAATTAAGGCAAAATATTGAATTTATTCAGTTGATTTGACCAATCATATTGGATAAAAGTGTCAGTTTCATTTGCATGATGTAAAAACATTAAGTAGATATAGTCACATATTTTACAATGTTAAAAATATATATATGAAAGACTCATGAAGGCATTTGATATAAAACATACATAGTATGCTATTTTAATATACAAATGCTTAAAAGAAAATCGAGTCATAAGAGTTACAAAAGTAGCATCAGTAAGAATTGACAAGTTTCCAGTTTTCATAAGGTCACATTCTCATCCGTTGGGATGTACAGAAATTATGTGGTTTACACAGTTTTGTCCACATTCAAAACATCATGTTTTAAATGTTTTAAGCATAGCATGTACAGTACAAAATGTTTCCATAGGAACATAACAGAACCCATCACTAGTGGCCTGCTGTCAGATGGCTTCTCACTAATCAGGTAGCCATTTGCAAGACACTAGTTCAGCTTATTGCTACAATATTCAAGTTGCTCTATTCACCCAAAATATAATGACTTTAATTTAAACTAGAATCTACTGAGAAAGGCCCAAAGAGTTGGCGTATAATATACACTAATATATACAAAACAACTATTCTGAGTTAAATGAAGTTCCCAGACTTAATTTAGAACCAAGAATAGTAATTTTAGGCTAATACATTATTCTTATAATTGGTATATTTTTACAATTTTGAGCAAAGTGCACAGTGAATGAAATCAGTCACCAGAAATGATCCTTCTAGGAACACTTAATTCCTCCCCTTCAGTTGCCCCACCTGAAAAATGAGAACTTTCAGACCTGGTGGACAGGGCAGCTCCACAAATAAAACACACAGGAGCCATGTGGAGTCACATTCATCAGTTCTGGGAGCCCACAATGCCAGCTAATAAATGCACAATTCACTAGACAGAGCCCCTGTGTAGAATCGGCAGAGCTAGCTTCCAGGAGACAAAAGCTGAGTATTAATTTAGAGCAAACAACAATCAGCCGTACTCTAACGTTGGTGGACCCCGGACAAGGTTGAAATACCCGGCCAGGGCTCCAAGGTCTATGTAGAGAGAACGTTGTCTCTTTAGCATCTCAGATTCTTCAGTGCTTCCTGTGCATGAAGAATCTGAAAAGGGAAACATTGAAAAAATAAAACAAATGACCAGGAAACATGTTCAATAGTAAATACTTGTTCCTTCTACAAAAAAAAAAAAGTAATAAGTTGGACCTATTGAAGTAGCATTCAAGCCCTGGTTTTATTAAAGAGCTACAGAAGTGAACACCATGGGCTAATTTGTGTCAGATTTCATACACAAAGAAGTTTTAAAAAAAGAGTCAATATAACAAGAAATTAACTAGAATTTCTGGCATGTTTTCTAACATCCTAGATGATACACTTTAAATATGGAAAAAGTCAAACAAGATGCAGAAAGGCAAACAAGCATTCCAGGCCTGACATCTGGGTTTGGATCTAAACAGATTAAGAATGACACAGATTTTAATAACAAAAATGTTATTAAACACCTCTCCACCCATATTCAATGCTCCTGCAATATGTACTGATCTTCCTAAATGGGGAAGATTCATAGCTGACAAAGAGATTTTAAGCACAGGAAGAGAGAAATGCAAATTGACTTCACACTCAGTATTTTATGTGGGCAGAGCAGTGCCATGATGTTTCCAAGCAAGGACTGGCATGGCTTACCATAACTCAATTTAACAGAACCCCAGTCTTTACCAGCAACAAAACTATCATGCCTGATTTGCTTTTAAAGGCATATGATATTCTCTGTAGCAAAAAAAGCAAGTTAGAGGCACTTCTCAATGAGTGTGTTGCCAACATCTGCACTAAAAACTTGTTATAACTTGCTGGTAAATTAGCCATTTTTTTAATGCTTTTGCTCACATTCTTCCTGAAATTTCTCAAACAATTTATGGCACTCATGAAATCCTTTCTTTTTTTTCAAGTGCTTTCATCAGTTCCATCAGTGGTGTGATGTAGACAAAAAGGAGGGAAGCCAGAGGCAGTGCACACAGCAGGGTGTCTGTACCTGCAATGTTCTCAGGAAGTTCCAACTCCTTCCTACTCAGCAGCCTCTTCCGCTCAAAGAGGGCCGAATCCAGGCTCCGACAGCGCGGCTGGTCCTCTCTGGGAGGGTTCAGGGCCTCATGTTTTAGTAGGTCTGCTGCCCTGGGGCGGTGATTTGGGTTCCTCTCCAGGGCAGCTTCTATCAGCTCTCTCATGCCGGGACTGCAGTCATCCGCAATATCCTCTAATGGAGGGGCCTGTTTGTGGATCTATCAACAAACCAGCCATCTTAGCATCAATATATGAAAACATCCCCTCAATAGGAAAAGTATTTTAGTAACATGACCTGGGAAGTCACTGGTTTCCTACCTCCTGGCCTGCAGCAAATACAGTTCATACCCTGAAACAAGTTGCCCTTTAATTTCCTAAGGACACCGAATTAAACCCATCTTCTGATTCAGTGCAAAGATACATGCTAGGTTTGAATAAACAGTGACAGCTTTATATCTCAACAGTGGTTCAAGGGTCACCATGGTATCTGCTCCATGGGGAGGTATCTGCTCCCGAATCTCTCCACAATAAAACAAGAGCTGCATGTTTCACTACATGCCAAGCTGGCATGGGGACCTATAATCTAATACCTTCTTTTTCTTTTCTTTTTTTAAGAGTTCAAACAACATTTAAAACTGCTTTGGCTCAAAGATTTATGCTACTTTGAGGCTACTAAGTGGCATTTTATTATTACACTAGAGACCCAATGCACGAAATTAGTGCATGGGTAGGGTCCCTAGGCCTGGCTGGCGATCAGGGCCAATCGAAGCCTTCCAGCTGCTGGCTGGGGCCTTCCCTCCCTGGCTGCCAGCTGCTGGCCAGGGCTTTCCTTCATTCTGTGCCGCCCCGTGGTGGTCAGCGCACGTCATAGCAAGCAATCAAACTCCAGGTCTCCCAGTTGAATTCCCAAGGGGACACTTTGAATATTAGCCTTTTATATATATAGATGTCTAACAGAATAGCATATAATTGATGCCCAATGTACATTTTAGTAAGTTCCCATTAAAATAGCAATGCCTTCTTTGTGAGAATGGGGCTTCCTCATTGGGTCACTAGCTCACTCCCATCCACTCAGAAAGGAGTGCAGCACTCCTGAACAGGTGGAAACCAGCCCAGCTCAGCCCTCATTGACCCCCACTTACTATGTACAGGTAGGAAGGATAAGCTGAGCGAGGGTAGCGCTTCACCCAGGGCGGGGTGCCCGTCTGCATGTGGATAAGCGTGGTCCCCAGGCTATAGATGTCGGCTTTGGTTGAATGGCCCCTGCACAGGATCACCTCTGGGCTCATGTAAATCTGAAAAAGAAGCAGGAAACATCAGTCTGACTCCCCTTGCTTGTCTGGGTTTCCATTTCCCTAATCAAGTTCTGGAAGCTGGCTCATCCACTGGTAATATATCTATTGCATGCTTCATCCCTTCATGAGAGTGCCATTGCTGTGTCCCATGAGCTAAGGAGAGTAACAGTCACCTGGGACCCAGTACATCAAAGTTCTGCAAAGCACTGATGCATGTTTCTGCTAAAACATCAGTTCCTTTCATATTTAAATGGACACTACAAACATTCTTCTACACCTCATGTTTGTCACTAAATTGCAGTAATAAAATTTAAATAATAAAAGTTGGCAAAGTCCACATGGTACTAACACTGATCACTTGGAAGAGAAGAACTTTTAAAATGCAGTGTTTTAAATATGATCCTAATTAGTCATTTCTATGAGCTACTTATTATTTCTACCTCTCACGTAGCTCAGTGACCAAATATTCAAGGCCTTATTAACACTGTGAAAATTCAATTTAGTTTCCCAAGTTGCTGCTGGGAAAGTAGGGCTAGGTTTAGAAATAGTTTCTCTAAGAAGTGTTTGTTTCTAAACCTAAAAAAGAGAAAACAAGAACAAACACTGGTGCCCAATGATCTGGATTTGTGGCTGGTCCAGGCATATCCTAATTAATAATATTTAACTTTAAGGAATTTTTATGCTGCTTGTTATTTGAATATTGATAAGGGAGTAAGTGTTCCAAAAATACATCCTATATAATAAAGAGCTAATATGGAAATGGTCATCACACCCTCGCGCCAGGACCAGGGAACCTGAGGCCGTGCTCCCTGCCCTTCAGGGTTTGATGGGGTACCTGAGGCTGCACCCGCCCCCGGGTGTCGGGCCGGGTAGGGGGACCTGAGGCTGCGGCCCTGCCCTGAGGGGCTTAATGGGGGTGGGGCCAGCCAGGTCTGGGTCTTGCACAATTTCAAGGTGTGTGTGGGTGGGCAAAGACTTGCACTCTGGGTCCTGTGGTGCTCCCCAGACTCTAACAGGAGGGAGATTTTCATATAGATTTTACTAATTTTCTTTCATCTCTGACACTTCTATTATAGAGAAAGGGCAAATAGCAATATTAAAATATTTCCTCTAATTAATTCCCTTTTAATGTGCACAAATTTCATGCACTGGGCCACTAGTTTCAGAATAAAGAAGTAAAGAACTGGTTTACAAAAACAGGAGAAATTGACCAGTTTCCTCATCCAAACCCTGCTCAACTTCTCTCTACAACACATTTCTGGGCTGGCTTGCTTTTCATTTATCATCTATCTATCTATCTATCTATCTATCATTCATGTATCTATCTATCTATATATCTATCTATCTATCTATCTATCTATCATCTATCTGTCTCTCCATCCCTCCCTCTCAGCAAACTGGCCAAGCAAGCTCCTTGCTCTCAAACTTCCCTGAAGCAAAAACAGATCCTAAAAGACTTTCTTACTAAGTATAATCACAAAGTTATACAATAAATGCAGTGGGGAGAATAAACTGTCAGTAGGGGATGCCCACTTCCTCCCTGCAATAGAAGGATTAGGCAAAATATGTACAATTGGTGAAACCAAGAGCAGCTGTGCAATAGGGCTCTGCAGACTCCATGTGACTACACATTTGGGGACAGCAGTGTCCTGTCCACCAGGTGACCTGGCTGTGACCCCTCAGGCAGATCACTCAGAGCTACATGGCTCAATGGCTCAGAGCTCCTGCTTCCTCAAGTTCTGTAAGAGCCACGGCAGCAGGGTAAGGTGATCAAAGACTCTGCAGGCTGGCTGACTCAAGACATGAAACAGGCCTGGTGGGATCTGGGTAAGGCTCTCTGAGTGGCATGCCCTCAGACATGGGCACTGACACAAAGGAACCTAGATGTCATGTCAGGGGTCAAGGC